GGGGGGCAGGGCTGAATCTTGGGGGCTGGACTCAGGAAAGCTGGGGAGCTGCATCTGGCCTCCAGGCCTGAGGTCCCTCCCCTCCCCCCCATGCTTTAGATGCACTAATTAATATGGCCTTCCCCAACAGTGAGAGAGGTCCATATTATTTCCATTTTATAGATTGAGTAACTGAGGCATGGAGAGATGTGACATGACCATGTTCACAAAGGGAGTCTGTGTTGATCAAGATGGTCCGTGTTTATCCAGGGCTTACCATCTCCCTAAACACCTAAGGGGAGCGGAAGTTGGCAGCCTGGTTTTGAAGGCTCTGTTTTAACTACACTTCTAGAGTGGGGAATACCCCAAAAGTCCTGATTTCCTGTTCCTCTGCTCTGTTTGACCACACATGTCCTTCTAGTAGCACGGTACACATAAAGTCCCATTGAAGATCAAGGCCCTGTCCCACTAGGCATTGCCCAGACACACTGTGGAGGACAGCCCTTGCCCCAACAAGATTACAGTCTAAGAAGACATAGTGGGGAAGCTGAGGCACAGAAATGGAAAAGGGCCTGCTCAGGCTCACAGCGCAGGTCAGTGACAGAGCCAGGGATGGAAGCCAGGTCTCATGTCTTGGGACTAGATCTCAGGACTTAATGTGCCACTGATACGCAGTTGAGTTAAATTTGCAGAGCTAGCAGTTGGGCCTGATCTCTTTTATTTGCCGACTGAGCAAATAGCTGTAGTCAGAGACAATAAACATACCGCACACAATGGCCCCTTTCGTGTCCCTTTTGCAGAGCAAAACTGCACAGTAAACAGGCTTTTGGAAGAAACAAAGGAAACCAGGTTGAAAAGAAAACAGTAGATACAGTGTAGCCCAGGCCACTCACCTAATTTGCTTCCATTTGTAGCCCTTCTAATGTGCCCAGTGGGAGTTTACAACAAGCTTCTTATTACACTAACAACTGTGTGTCTCATAAAATTCCTTTAATCTTGAATTCCCCTGGGCACTTTGGAAATACGTAACTGGAATACAAGCTGCACGGCTGTTGCTTCCGCCGCTGCTGACATGTAGCTGTCTCTGGGGTGGAACGTAGCCGCGTGTTTGACTGTGATCTTACTGTGCATAGCTGGTGTTTGCTGGGCAGCTGAGCTGACCTTTGACTGAGATGAATGGTGCAGCTCACACCTCTCCAAGCTATTGTTCTAGTTCTCTGCAGGCTCAGTGGTGCGCAGCAATGAGGGGAACTCCTGGCACAATTTACCAAGGGCGGTGGTGGAGTCACTGTCCCTGGCAATTTTAAAATCAAGATCGGATGTATTCCTAAAAGCTCTGCTCTAGTTCAGCCAGCTGTTAATTCAAGGAATCCCTATGGCCTGTGTGTCCAAGAGGCCAGGCTAGATGCTCAAAGTGGTCCCTTCTGGCTTTGTCATCGCATTCGCCTCATTCACAGAGATGAATGGGGTAGCTGTTCACACCTCTTTGTGATTCTGCAGGTTCATCAGCCTAGGCAAAGCAATCTGAACACCTGCCCCCGACTGTGAACTCTGCTAGAGTTATATAAAGGTGGCTAACTGCCCTTCCTGTACTGATGTGCGCTGTGCTGCTATAAGCACTTTCATACTGGCATAACGGAGTCCATGCTAGAGCAGAGGATTGTAGTTTTAACTGTACCGGTAGAGCAGTACAGCCTTAGTGCAGGCCTATGCTACGGGACAATGCCGACCTCAGGCACATAACTCTACGTGAAGAGTATAGCTGGAGTTGATGTACCTTAGGTTGAGTTGCTAGGGGGTCTCCACTGTGGTGTATCGATGGGGAAAACTCTCATGATGACTCCCCTTAGGCTCCTCATTCTGGTAGAGTACCAGAGTCGACAGGAGAGTGATTGGTCCTCAATTTAGTGGGTCTTTACTAGACCCGCTAAATCAACCCCCAGTGGATAGATTGCCACAGCTCCAATCTCCCGGTAAGTGTAGACCTGCACTTTGTGCATGGGCTAGTTATGCAATCAGCTAGGAGTTGCACCCTTTTGCCTACATAGCAGTGTCAGCAAGCCCTCCAAAGCAGACACCTGTGTGGATAGAAGATGGCTTCTGTTGCCATAGGGTGTTCAGGGAGGTGGTGTCACTGGGCCGGCAGAAGAACCCCTGTCTGCTTACACTGCATCTCTACTATGGGCTTTACTGGCACAGCGATCCTAGTGTAACTGTTCTGGCAAAGCATTTGGAGTATGAACAAGCCCATAGTCTTTCTGTGTTGTGAAAATAGCTTAACCCTTAACTCCTTGCCTCATGGGGGCATATGTCCAATTAAAGTGGGCAAGAGGTTTAAATGAGCACCCCGATAAAAGTACCCAAGGATTTTAGCTAGCAAAAAAACTGGTGCCTGCTCATCGCTTCATATCTGCTCTGATTCAATTGCAGATGACAGCTTGGTGAAAGAGTCTGGACAGCAGGGAATCTTGGCAACAGTTAACTCCGCAAAGATCAGGTTCAAGCCACCTGCTGTGTTTGACCTACATAGCAAAGGCCAAAAGTTAACTTCTCTTTAATTTTATTCAGTGCTGAGAGCTAAGCAGTAGATACCCAAGTGAGAAAGTCTAAGTTGCATTGCTGCACGGCTGTATTCAATGGAATGAGCTTTTCCGCCCTGTAAATTAGGTAACTGGGTCCTTCCCCATGTCCTTCTAAGCTCAGCAGAGCCATGTGTAACTTGATCTAATGCCTAATGCATGCTGTCTCGTGAGCCAGAGAATGGACTGGAAAATTGAATTGCATAGGGGATGAATTGCACAGGGGGTGAAAGGTTCCAGTGGATTTTTTAAAAAGTTCAAAGATTGAATCTCTATTAGAAATAGTGCCATGGAGCCTCATGGGAGCTGTAGTTCACGTTTCAGTTCTCCTCTACATGCTGAGCACTCTACATCTGCTTACTACATCTACCATGGTTTCCCCTCTTGGGGAGGCCATGGCCATGGGGCATCATGAAGGGTGTGATGGCCCAGAGAAGAGAATGGGCACATGAGGAATCCATGTTAACAGCTACTATGAATTTAAAGGGACAGTCTACTCTTGAAAATGACATGTACCTTGGTGTCAGCTGTGCTGGCTTGAGTTCTGAAGTTTCTCTGCACTATTCAGCTATGGCATGGGGAGCTGCAGTCTGTTCTTGCTCCTGCATTGAAAGAGTTCACCAATTCCCTATTAGAGGATCGAATAGAGATGCCTGCACTGAAAGTGAAGGGGAGAGTCCTGCCAGGACTCTGGGGTGGTAGTTATGCAGAAGAAAGGAAGAACCCATTTTAATAATGCCCCTGGTTGAGTGAACCTGGGACCTCTAGACCTTAAAGCACAAGTTGGATTTTAAAGAATACCAGGGGGCTGCATCCTCTGCTTACTAGGCTTGCCTACCCCCTCTCTCTGGCCACTTTCACTTTGCTGAGGGAGCCTGTTGATGCTGATCACGTCATTCTGTCGTGATGTCATTCTGTCGTCCGCCAGGAAAAGCTTATGTATATGTATATGTATATGTATATGTATGTATAGGCAGATGTTAGAAAAATACGGAATGGTTAACCTCAAAAGGGAGAGTCCTGGTTGGATTGGTCCCTGACCTGGGTAAAAGCTCTTGCAATCTGGAAATAGTTAAGAGCCACGTAGCCAAAGAACCACTAGACTAGAGCTCCGAGGCTCTAACTTCTAGACATACTTTGGCCACTAGAGAGAGACAAAGAATCATGCAGCATTACCTAGACTAGAGCAAGAAAGAGCGTTTATCAGAATTTTTTTATGTGGAAAGATTTTGGTGAACAATAGAGTTGTCAAAACTGAACACTTCACAGGAAATGTCCATTTGAATGAAAAACGTTTGGTTTGCCCTGCAGGGAATTTCATCGCAAGTCAAGGTTTGAAAAGAAAAACAGTAGTTTTGCCTTAAAATCTCATTTTATTTTTTAAAACTGTTAATTAAAAGCAAATGAAAATGTTATCTCAGTTGAAATGAGAATTGAGGGGTTTTTTTTGTTTTGTTTTGACTTAAATTCCAGCTAGGTGTGTTTGTTTTTAAAAATCATAAACCCTTAAAATGATACTTTAATCAAAATATTGATTAGAAACAAGTTTTTTTGTGTAAAATGTCATTATGATTGAAACCAAAACTCCAAACAGACAGAAAGTCAAACATCCACACCAAAATAACCCCCAAACCCAGAAGAAACAAGTCTGAAACAAAATGATTCATAATACATATTTTAACTTAAAATGTCATTTCATTTTTCCATTAAAAATCCTCACAAGACAAAATGATGCTATCTGGTTGAAATGTCAAGTAGAGAAAATAATTTTGTTTAAATTGTTTTGTTTTTTGTTTAATCCTCCCCCAAAATGAAAAAATGTTTTAATCAAAATGGGGACTGGAAACAAAAGATTTTTTTTCATGTTGACTTAAAATGTTGGTCAGTAATAACTGTTTATTAAGGCAAAATTGTGAGACAATGTTAACATGCTACATCATACGTTGATTATTCAGGATCTGGTTAAAAAACCTGGCTAAAGATTCTGGCTTGCCATCCCCCTCTGAGTATGCTGAAAAGGGTGGCCACATTTCTTAATAAGAGTCGCAGTCTTTTTTTTAAAAAACAAACAAAAATGTGAGTTGACACATGTTTATTTTGAAGTGGTTTTCAGAACTTCAACTAGATAGTCCAGATTCCCCTCCCCCCCACCCCCGGACCGTTTTTGGAGTATTTCAGACTAACTACAATGTGTGGGCTTGATAGATGGGTATCAGGGCTTGTGGTATGCAGGAGGTCAGACTGGTTGACCAGATGGTCCCTTCTGGCCTTAGATCTGTGAAACTATGTAAAGACTTTTTTGTCTGACGTTCCTTGAGGGGAAAATATCATTGTTTTTTCCCACCAGTTTGTAGTAATGCAGATGGGAAGGGAATACAAATGGGTCAACCCAACCCCATGTTAAATGAAATAAAAAAAAATTATTGTGTCTTTCTGTTGTAGGAGTGAAGATGGCTAGAAAGAGAAAGGTCTAGAGGAGACGAGTGGCAGGGTGAGGGATGCTTCTAGACAGATTTCACAGAAGGAGGAGGAATAGAAAAGAAGAGGAGGAAAAAAAAAGGCAGATGTTAGAAAAATACAGTGAGTGACTGATCTGCTAGGTGTAATCAACCATGATTGAAAAATGCAGTCTTTCAACGGGAGACCAAGGTAACTATTAGTTTGTAATTAAGTGAATTAACATTAGTCTCTCCTGCCTCACTGAGGGCATGTGTACACTGTGGCTGGGGGGTGTGCACCCCTGCGTGGGGAGCCCATCACGTAAGTGCTCTGAGCTAGTGTGAGAGAGGCTGTGGCTGCACGGGCAGCTGCTCAGGTGAGCCACCCACATAGGTAACCGAAGGGTTGGGTGATTTGGTCCCAGGTGGCTGGGCCAAGCTAATGCTCATGCTGCCACGGCCACATATCTCCTTCTAATGCCTTACCGTGAGCAGAACTAACATGCGTAGACTTGCCTGCTCCCAGAACCTCCCAGCTGCAAAGTAGAGTTCCTGCTGTCATTTCTGCAGCAAACTTCAGGGGCTGCTGCTGTTTCAGATTGATTTATTATTTGTCACTGGGAGCTGTTTCAACTGATTCAGCGTAAGAGCAGTTCACACAGGGAGCTAATCCGGAATGGTTAATCTGCTTTATATTCACAGTTAAATTGTTTGAACTCCTCTATAGTTTCCCTGAAGCCAGGCTGACTAGGAGCTTCCTCTAGCCTGGTGCAATCTTTGAGTTTCCTTTTACTGCTCCAGTGGCCTCTTCAGCCCCCTGCTTAAAACTTGCCAATCACTTGCTCTGGAATTCCAGCAAACAGCCTGCAGGCAGTTCCATTGAGAGGGGATTACCTAGGAGGCAGGTAAATAGGCCACCTACCAGTCTTATGCAGCACTCTGAGCCACAGGCTGATTGCCTTTGGTCTCACGCTGAGAAAGGTAGAACTCAGCATTGGATCAACTTGCAGCCTTGGCAGAGGTAAGAGGTTGGGGAGGGGGGATGCTTTGTGGGACTGGGCGCAGTTTGATTTCCCTTGGTGTTGCTTGGGCCTTTGCAACATGCAAAACGTGGCCCCTCTTGCCCACAAGCTGCCTGTAAATGTGCATCCACAAGCCCTTGTCTTGACTGGGATAGGAGGTCAAGTTTAGATCTGCTCTGCTAACATGCTAGCTCAACCCAGTCTAACCCCAGCCTATCCTCTTGAGCAGATGTAAGATTAAAACCTTTTCTCTCAAGTTTGACTAGTCAGTTTGTTTCCTATTCCCTAGCATGGGCAGTAGCTGAGGCTTAGCTAGCACGTTTTAGTGAAGCCCAGCTTTCATCCTAGCCTGCTCAAGGCCGGTAAAGAAACTTGGGTGCTAGAAAGCCATTTCCAGGATGAATAATTTGCAGATTTTAAGCAGGGGATGAGAGAACGGTAAAAGGTCACCAAAAGACTTTATCTGGTCATTAGAGGAAGCTCCATGTTAACCCAACTAGAGGGAGGCTTAGCTAGCACGTTTTAGTGAAGCCCAGCTTTCATCCTAGCCTGCTCAAGGCCGGTAAAGAAACTTGGGTGCTAGAAAGCCATTTCCAGGATGAATAATTTGCAGATTTTAAGCAGGGGATGAGAGAACGGTAAAAGGTCACCAAAAGACTTTATCTGGTCATTAGAGGAAGCTCCATGTTAACCCAACTAGAGGGAAATATGGGGTGTCTTGCTGCTCTCCATGATTACTTTTCAGTCAATACTCAGTTCTTCTACTTGGGTTTGGTAGCTGGAAATGTTCTAAAGTATAAGGATGGTCCAGCAGCTGGGACCTGTCTGATGTGGTACAGGTCCCTGCTCTGCCAAAGATTTCCTGTGTGACCTTGGTCAAATTGCTTAGCTTGTCTGCCTCAGTTTGGCAGTCTGTAAAATGGGGATAATTACTTGCTAAGATGAACATTGGAAGTGTGTGTGTTGCAGTGGTGAATTGGTGCTTTTCTGTCACTGCCATTGTGAACCAAGGCAAGATTTATTGTTTGGAGAATAGCCTAAAAACCCAAATGTGGAGGTCTGCAGCAGGAGGGCCATGGCTCAGTGCTATGTGTTTGGTTCTGGGGTCCACACTTTGTGGATTGGAGAGGCTGCAGACCAGCCACAAGAAAAATTCATGGCCTGGAAAACAAAGGGAGGACTCATCTGGAGGGGGACATAGACCTGAATTGCTAGAGCACAGTAGTAGCTCAGCGACTAAAGGAGCCCCATCGGTGTAGCTTATCCGAGCCAAAGCTAAGAGGTGGTTTGGTCCCAGTCTACAAGCACCTCCATGAGGAGGAGATCTCTGATGGCAGTGGCTCTTTTTTGCCCAGCAAGCAAAAGCAGAACAAGATCCAGTAGCTGGAGATTTGGTCCCAGATGGATCCACAAAGGCCTCTTGAGCCCGGTGACTGAAGTCCAGGACTCCTGGGTTCTGTTTCTGACTGGCTGTGTGGCCTTGGGAGAGCTCACTTTGTGGATCTGTCCTGAAGAGCAGAGGGATGGTGCAATGATTAGGGCATTGTTCCAGGACACCTGGGTTCTTTCAATTCCCTGCTCTGCGACAGGCAGGTCATTTAATCACTCCCTGCCTCTGTTTCCCCATCTGTATAAGGGGGAGAGTGGTGCCTACCATTGCAGATATCCCCCCCCCCCTCACCCCGAGTGTCTATACATAGTTTGCACAATCTTATAAAGTGCTTGATGGTTTCAGTTCTCCGCCCGCCTCTCAGATCACCCAGTGACAAGCTAGAAACCCCCTGAAGCCATGGGGGAATTGGGTGTGGGCTGGGTTCCAGACATGCCTCAGACCTTGTGTACCTAGGTCAGCACAGCCACAGTGCTCCAGGGAAGACAGGAGGACCTTAGCTCCTAACAAGGTGAGAACACAATTCATTCTTTGCCCTTTCAGCCATGCTGCAGCCAGTAGGTTCAAGTGCTGTTTTGGGCTGTGCAGATTCGGGGAGACATTGTTCTGGGGTAGCTTAATGACTGTTCCTTGTTTTGTAAGTTTTTCTGCTTTGAAAGTGGGGCCCTGGCTGGGGTCTGTGCTGCACCCAGCACAATGGGGCCTTGAGGCAGCACTGTAATAGGAATAACCACCAATTACATCTACTCTTGTTTTCCTGAAGCTAATGCCTCATGCCACAAGCTGCTGGCTTTCCCAGTGGCTGGGTATCTTTGTAGGCAGCACAACGGGGCAGTGGGCACTACCATTGCAAGACAGGCAGTAGTACTGCATTGTTGGAGGCACCCCTTGGACTGCCTCCAGCATGGGAACTGCTCTTAGAATTTTTATTCTATGATGCCAACAGGCTGTTAACCCAGACAGGGGCCTGCTTTGTGCCAGGTGCTGCACAGACACATGGTGAGAGACAGTCCCCGGGCTGAAGAGCTCATTGCCTGAAATGACAGCAGGCCATCCTTCAGACTGAAGGTATTACCCAAGGCCAGTAGCAGAGCGGGACTAAAACCCAGGTTCCAGGCTGCCAGCTCAGTGCCCTGCCCACTAGACCATGCTGTGCTTTGTGTGGGGCTTGGGATATTGACCATTTGTGCCACACAACAGGCGGTGTCAGGACTGTAGCAGGCCTCCTGCCCCCAATGCAGCAGGATAAAGCAGTTAGCTACAGAGCTGAGGAGGGGTTTATAAAATGTCAGGGACAGAGCTGTATTTGGGTGATCAGGCTTCCTAGGCCACAGGGCACCATGTCCTGCTTTCTACTGATCATTGTTTATCTTCCACGACAGTCTAGGAGCCCCAGTCACTGATCAGGGCCCTCTCCTGCTGGTGCTGTGCAGGCCCTGCCTAAGATGATGAGGTCCCTGCTGGGCTAGGCACTTAACCACAATCCCTTCCTTACCAATCTGTGTGTATGTTGGCTTCTGATAGCTATAGGTTAAGTCTTTCATTGAAATTTGTACCACATGCCTTGTGCCTCTGTTTGCTAGGTGTGGACACGTGCCTTCTTTATTGGTGAGTGCCCAGTACAAATAGCTCTGTGGCTGATTTATTATTAACTGTAGAGAACCATCAGTGACTCATGGCAAAGCTTGGGAGATCCTCCCACAGTGCTTGGCTTTTTGACTATGAACAAGTCTGTTCCACCCCTGAGAATGAAGCACTTAAACCACGTGGCCGCTAGGGGGAAGCAGCACAACTTGGGAACAGTAAGATCCAGTGAGGAAAAAGCACAGGTGCCCTGGTGGCCACTCCAGCCACAGGAATCACAGCTGAAATGTGAGAGAGCATCAATTCAGTGTGGATGCTTTCTTCCAAAAAAGCAGATTGCTTTGCCAATGTGCTTTGGCAGAGTGGACACGCTCGTTCAGAAGACATTTTTTCGGAACTTCCGGAAGAAGCCTTCAGGACAGATGAAGCCTGGCTCAGACCAATAGTCCATCTAGCCCAGTAATGGGCTTCCAACAGTGGCCAATGCCAGGTGCCCCAGAGGGGATGATCAAAACAGGCAGTCATCAGGTGATCCATCCCCTGTTGCCCTTGGCAAAAGTGGCCCTGGGCAAATCCTTTCCCTTCTTGGTGGCTCTGCTCCTCCTCTCTCCCTTCAGGACAGATGAAGCCTGGCTCAGACCAATAGTCCATCTAGCCCAGTAATGGGCTTCCAACAGTGGCCAATGCCAGGTGCCCCAGAGGGGATGATCAAAACAGGCAGTCATCAGGTGATCCATCCCCTGTTGCCCTTGGCAAAAGTGGCCCTGGGCAAATCCTTTCCCTTCTTGGTGGCTCTGCTCCTCCTCTCTCCCCAAAACTTCTTGTCTCTCCTGAGACATGGGATTCTTGGGCAAATCCCTTCCCCTTTCTATGCCTCAGTTCCCCCTGCCACATTTCATTTCTTGAGACCATGGGTGGAGAGTGACCCCCCTGGCTTGGGGAAGCTAGTCTGTTCCTCAAGCCTTCGGCACCCACCAGAGCCCACCCCTGGTGTGGCTGCTGGTCTCTCTGCCCAGCATCTCCAACCTCTGCCCCTACTGTGTCCACTGTCCCTTGCTCCGGTCCAGCACCCCTACCTCCCATAGCCTTAGAGCGCTGGGCAGCTTGGCCCTAGTCCTTGGAGACCCAGCAGCATGGCTCTAGCCTCCCCAGGTCACCTGGCCTGACCCCCAGCTTGTCCCGGCCTGGAAGGCCACCTGCCAAACTGCCAGCCTC